TCTATGGTAACTGGGTGAAAGTTTGCAGAGTAGATCAGGTTTCCATTCAGCAGTTAATTTACATTTTTTCATGTCATTGAGTGCAATCCTAGCAACTTAACATCACTTACCTCCTTTTTCTTTGTGTTTTCCACCATCGTCTTCATTGTTTCCTAACCCTTCTGAACTTTGTTTGTCCTTGGGTAGATGTTACCTTGTTGATCTCAAAGGTTAATTATTCGAAGGTGTGCATACCTCACTAGTGGTGTTGTTCCTGATAGACCTGTGTGGCTGGAAACTGAACCACAGAGTCCGCCCCCACACCAGACTTCAGGAGTGGGAAGGAACCACAGTCTTGAGGTTCCACCAGTACCTAATGGATCTATTTTTATCATGTTGAGTTTTGTTCCTTGTTGCTCCCAGACTACCTAGAACCTTCTAATGTGATCCTTTTCAGAACATTGGGTTGTAGCAGCCACATACCTTCTAGTTCTGGTCTCAGACCCAGACTGCTTTTCATGCAGTCCTTGAGTCCACTGACTGCTTGCTTTCACGTGTCTTCCGTTTCAGTGGTTCCTTTTCCTCCTGGGGAAGAGGGAACCGTAGTGTTGTGTGTTTTTAAGATCATAGTTTAAGATACTCATCACATTAGGATGTAAACTGTTGTCTCTTTGCTGTATCACCTTTGATCTAAGAAGTGAGTAAAGAGGGAGGCATTTGACAACCACCAAGAAAGGCGAGCTAGGGTTTGAGGATGCCCTTTGGACACGGAGTCCCTGTGTGCTGCATCTTTGTAGAGCCAGGACACGTGGCTCTCCGAGGAACACTGAGCTAATGGTGTTGAAAGGAGACAGAAGTATCCCCAGAGCTAATACAGAGAGAGCACCCCTGTAGAGCAGCGACTTGGGCTTGTAGCCTCTGGACTGTGAAGGAACACTTTTGTTTGGTAAAGCTGCCTGCTTGGGTTAGACTTGTTAGAACACCGCTGTGACTCAGACCATGAAGAACTGCTAGCAGCTAGCAGGTTCCATCAGGAAAAGGGTTGTCAAAAGAGCGCTCTTCCTGCAACAAGACAGGCAGCAGAAAGCACGATGGACATATTTGGGATTTTTTTTTTTTATCGCGATAGAAGGAAAGGAGATGAGTGAGTTGAGTGTAAATATAAAGATTATGACATTTGACTTAAAATTACTGTATCAGACCATGGAAACTAAACTAGCTGAGGAAGGAAAGAATGACATGAAGTTATGAGCGGCAGTGAAAATGAGATGGGATCCATGAGTTTGTATGTCTTTAGGAAATTATGTCTTGATTTCTTTTTAATGCATCCAAGTCATGCCCCTACTCAGTTGTTGAGGGACTAGAGTTGTGAATAGGTATTACCTGGTACCCATCCAAGATTGAGGGTCAGAGGAGTTTAATACCCCAAAAGGCCTGTCTACCCACAGGAACTTAATATGTTAGAGGTAGAAGCACAGAGAAGCTTTTCTGAGTGGTAACAGTTGATGTGGGGTGAGCATGAGGGTCGCGATGGACAGTATGCTGGGCAGAGCACTCAGTGTCCTCTCCCGCTTCTCGGATGAGTCTTCTTGGAGATCTGCTTTGGTCGACTCTTTTGTGATACAAAAAGGAAAGATGATCTCTTTATTCTTTTGTTTCAGATCCTAAAGTAGCAACTGATTGTGCTACTTGAAATACTTCAAATTCTTGAATTCACAAGGATGAAAAGTCACATCATATGATGTCAGAAAAACTTGCTGCGATGGAGCCCTCTGCCCTTGAGTCTGGGGAAGTCCCTGGACCTAGATTAGAGGGGCTGTCAGGAAACCCTGAAGAGCAGAGCCTGAGCCACTCTCCCACTGAAGCAGGTTTCAGGCAAGTGACAGTTACTCACTGGAAAATCCAAACAGGAGCGACAGATCAGATGTTTAATAAATCAGAAATTAGTCCAACTCTGAACTCTAACTTTCTCATACTTCAGAGAGAACTTACAGAAGGGGAAGCCAGTCAATGTGATACGTGTGGCAAAAGCTTCACGTGTCACTCAGACCTAATTAGGCATCAACTTTCTCATACTGGGGAGAAACTTTATGAATGTGATCACTGTGGGAAAAGCTTCCGTCAGAGCTCATGCCTCACTGAGCATCAAAGAATTCACACTGGAGAAAGACTTTACGTATGCGAGGTGTGTGGGAAAAACTTCCTTCACTGTTCAAATCTTATTGAGCACCAGCGGATACACACAGGGGGGAAGCCATTTAAATGTACACAGTGTGGGAAAGCCTTCTGTCACAGCTCAGACCTTCTTCGACACCAGCGCGTGCATACCCGTGAGAGGCCATACGAGTGCAGAGAATGTGGAAAGGGCTTCAGTCAGAGTTCACTACTTATTCGGCACCAGAGGACCCACACAGGAGAAAGGCCCTATGAATGCAGTGAATGTGGAAAGGCCTTCATTCGGAGCTCAAGCCTTGTCCGCCATTACCAGATCCATACGGAGGTGAAACAGTATGAATGTAAAGAGTGTGGAAAGGCCTTCCGACACCGATCGGACCTCATTGAACACCAGAGAATCCACACTGGGGAGAGACCTTTTGAGTGCAATGAATGTGGGAAAGCCTTCATCCGGAGTTCAAAGCTCATCCAGCATCAGAGAATTCATACTGGAGAGAGACCGTATGTTTGTAATGAATGTGGAAAACGCTTCAGCCAGACGTCCAATTTCACTCAGCATCAGAGAATTCACACTGGAGAGAAACTCTATGAATGCAATGAATGTGGGAAAGCGTTTTTTCTGAGTTCATACCTTATTAGACACCAGAAAATTCACACCGGGGAAAGAGTATATGAATGTAAAGAATGTGGGAAAGCCTTTCTCCAGAAAGCCCACCTTTCTGAACATCAGAAAATCCACACTGGGGAGAGACCTTTTGAATGTAAAGACTGTGGGAAAGCTTTCATTCAAAGCTCAAAGCTACTTCTACATCAGATTATTCACACTGGTGAGAAACCCTATGTGTGTAGTCATTGTGGGAAAGGCTTTATTCAGAGATCAAACTTCATTCAACACCAGAAAATTCATTCTGAAGAGAAACTCTATGAGTATAGTCAGCATGAAAAAGATTTTAATCCCACTTCAGATTAAAAATGTGTTTACCAAGAGGGGCTTGACTTGAGGGAGGTAGCTATACATTTCAGTGAGAACTCTTTATGTCAAGGGGAGCATACAGATGACTTAAAATTATTCTCCAGCTCAATGAATGATACTTAGAAATGAGTGTTTTGAATCATGATTCACACCGATTTTAGGATCTGGCTGTATCAGAATTTTCCAAAGTCACAGGTGATACTGTTTTTGCAGTGGGCTCCACCTGTACCACTTTGCAGGGCATTGGACTTCAAAATTCCTTCAGCCATGCATGCTTGTCCTTAAGAGAACCATTTGATTTTACAGCTGACTTTCAGATGGAGCTATGGGAACAGGTCTAGAGAAAGTCTCTATTTTGTAATTATTGACATCCTTAAATCAATTTTAGGGTGGAATTATGTAGCTAATCTTATCATACTTAAAGTGGCTTAGCAAATTTTACTTTATCAGATAGGCAGGTTGGTGAATACTTTTTTTTTTAATTGTTTTTTTTTTTTGGGTGAATACGTTCTTATTTAAAAGTCACTGGTTCCTTCCCTACTGTCCTTAGGATGGAGTCCAAGGTCCCATGCATGCACCCTAAGGCCTTCTGCTTCCGTGGCCTCATCTCCCACGTTTAGCTATCTGCCAGAGTAATAGTCCGACACACCCACCAACTTCTTTCCTTCCTCCTACCCTTTGTCCACGTTGAAGGGCCTCCCCTTCCCTCTTCCTCATGTCCAGGGACCTTTTCCCTCAGGCTTAGCTAGGTTTCCTTCTTCTCTGCCTTCATGTTCAGTGTCCACCTTTGTTACTGGGCTTACTGTGGTTTGTCAGCCACATGCTTTTGTACCAGTCTCATGCTGTGTGTTCTTCGAGGACAGTGATCAAGCCTGGCTCATGCATGTGCCCCAGTGCCCAGCACAAGGCAATTGAAAGAACAATGTAGCCGCCACCATAAAATCTGTAGTTAAATCCTGTTTGTCATTTCTATCCTGCTAGTTTTAAATTTTCTAAGCGTATCTCGTTTCTTCTAATGTGAGTCTGATCTGTTCTGTTACAATATCCTTTATTCTTAGCCCTGTGGTAGTGTTTGTTTCTCTTTTTTTAATCGTTTTGTTACGGGCTCATACAACTCTTATCACAGTCCATACACACATCAATTGTGTAAAGCGCATTTGTACATTCATTGCCCTCATCGTCCTCCAAACATTTCCTCTCCACTTAAGCCCCCGGCATTAGGTCCTCATTTTCCCCCTCCCTCCCCGCTCCCCCCTCCCTCATGAGCCCTTGATAATTTGTAAATTATTATTTTGTCATATCTTGCCCTGTCCGACGTCTCCCTTCACCCACTTTTCGGTTGTCTGTCCCCCAGGGAGGAGGTGACCTTGTAATCGGTTCCCTCTTTCCTACCCACTCTCCCTCTACCCTCCCAGTATTGCCACTCAGTATTTGTTTCTATATAGCTCAGACACTACAGGCAGTAACCAGCATCCGATTAGGGTTCCTCATACTTATTGCCTTTAGACCACACCCAGAATGTCACTTGTTTTTGAGCACATTGTTTTTACTTTGTTGGTAAATCTCCAGTGTACTCACGGTGTAAGGAAGACATCACAGAAAAGGTGCATTTGAAGTGATCTACACAAGACAAGGGAGCTAAAGGGAAAAGCCTTGAGGGAGGATTCCTGAGAGCAGAGACGGGGAGCATGACAGACGTCTTAATTTTTAGCAACCTTAGAACCTTTGAGTGGGCCGTTGTTTTGAAAAAGTTCATGCACTACTTCATCTACTGGAAAAATAGTTACCAGAGATTTTTGAGTGGTATAGAAGGAGAGGTTACCAGGCCATCTTTATACAGTGAAACACCTATTTTAAATGTCATTTTTTTGGTCAGTGCATACACCCAAGTAATTGTCACTACACTCAAGATAGATAATACCATGATCACCCCAAAAAGTGTTTTCTGCTGTTTCCCTGACAATCCCACCGCAGCCCCAGGTAACCACTAGTCTGATGCCACTGTAGAGTCTCCTTATTCTAGAAGTCTGTGTAGATCAGCTCATTTGTACGCTTGTGTCAGAGTTAATCCCTCAGCATGTTTGCGATTCAGCCAAGCTCTTGAGTGTTTCAGTCGTTCTTTGCTGAGTAGTATTGCTAGGGTATGAATAAACACACCATTTGTTTATTCATTTGCCTCCGAGTGTACATTTGGGCTTCTTTTTTCTTGGTTAAGACTATTATGAATAAAACGGATATGAGCATTGGTGTAAAAGTATGTAAATACATGTTCTTTCTCTTGGACAGATCTAAATAGATGGAAAGGTAAACCGTGCTCCAGAATTGGCAGGCTTAAACTTGTTTTTATGTTCATCATCTCAGAACTTTTAAGGAAATGCAAAAGAACTGGGATAGCTAAAACATTATGCTGCGGAAGCAGTCCTGTTACCTGGCTGAACACTTAAACTATAAGACAGTTTATTTTAAAATATATAACTAATACTGGGGTGAAGAGAGACATAGAGTGAGAGGGATACTCCGTGCATGTACAGTTACATTTTATGAAGGTGTGGCGGTTTATCCAATGGAGGAAAGGAGGGTCTTAAAAATGGCCCTGAAAACCAGGTACTCATCCATTGACCCTACTACACACTACGCAGAAAGCCCAAGGGGGGCCATTGACCTGGCTGACGCCGTAAAGCTGGGAGCCCTACTGTTAACAGTGGGTGATGCTTTGGACTGCTGTCTGCAAGATTGGCAGTTCAAACTCATCGCAGCTCCGTATGAGAGATGAGACTGGCTTCTCGTCTAAGGGTCACAAGTCTGAGACCCTAGGAGGCTGTCCTCTGCCCGACAGGATCACTCAGAGCTGAAACCAACCTGTTGGACACTGGATAGAAACAGACATTCATGCCCTTCGTGGTTATATATGTGTGTGTATCAACGTCAAAAACGGGAAATTTTCATGATCTTTGTCCCGTCACACATATATTGCCTTGCGCTGTTATAGAAATAACCACAAGTTGAATGCCTTTAACAATAAAATATTTTCTAAAAATTTAGGATCCTGAATAAACCTGAATCTTAAGTTCCATTTCAGGGCACCAGCTCTTGGGGAAAAAACTTCCTCTGTGGGCTCCTGAGGAAGGGCCTTCCCTTTGTGATCTCCATGTGACTTGACATGCGGCCACCACTTAGAGGAAAAGCAACAAACCAGACATGGCCCTCGGGTCTGCACTGATGCATAATGGCCCTACAGGACAGGGTAGAACGGCCCGAGACTTTCTGAGAAGGCAACTACAGGAGTAAAAGGCCCATCGTTCTTCCTTGGAGCAGCTGGTGGTTTACACCTCGGACCTTACAGTTCCCAGCCCAATATGTGACCAAGATGAGACCAGGACTCCTAGCCTATTTATATAACTGCTAGACCCATAGCCTCCCCCAGTGGTTTCCCAGACTGACTTTTGGGAGTGGAAAGCTCAGTTGAGAGGGCCCTTGGGTAGTGGGTGGCCGCAATGGCAATAAGTGGCTTGGAGGAGGACATGGCCAAGTCCCATGGCTGGTCTATGCCAGGAGGCAGGTGGTGTTCCATGTTCAGTGTTTCCTTCATTAGTCTGACACCAACCATTCTTCTCACTGCACTCAGCATCTATGCTGGGCTTGGGGTTGAGACTACTCACAATTAAGGGGTTGTATGTTTTTCTATTTTTCAAGGGGGTTCATTAAGGAAGCCAATAGGTTCCCACAAGTAAGGATCAGCAGACAATAAGAATACAGTCATTTGTCTCCCCAACCACTACCAGTCTCTCTAAGGTACTCAGCCTCTCAGTCACATGGTCCCTTGGCCTTTAGCTCCGTGGGACAGGAGGACAGTCCTGTTTCTGTTCCACAGTCTCCAGCCGGATGAGGCCAAGGTACCCCACAGTCTCTGATGCACTTGGTCTCAGCACACACACACACACTGCAGGCAGAGGCCTTGAGTGTGCTCTCCGGAGGTCTTCCAGGGTCTCTGCTCCAGAAATGGCTCATCCTTTAAGCCTGGGGGCAGGGTGGGGAGGGGGTGATAATGAAAACGGACTAGTCCTCTCTATTGGTGCTCCTCACCCTATTTGCACAATACTACTCAATCAGTTGGTGGGCATTACAGAGATTTGGGTAGAAGAGCTATAAGAAATTTAGAGGGGGAAAAAAAGCTCATTCCACCACAGTGATTATATGCAGAACTCTAGTGCTACAGGCCACTGCGGTGACCTCCTTGCTATCAAATAATTCAATACTAGTATGTTCCTGAAAGTTTGTTTTACTCAATTATATCCAAACACATAAATTTCTCTGTAAAGTAAGAGACAAAGCTACCATCAGAGTGAGAAGAAATGTATTGGTTTGGAGTTGAGTGTTTCAAACAAAAACCCAACCGCCGCTGGTCAATTCCAGTTTCTGAGATTCAGTATTCTTCAGTGAGCGTGGTGGGTGGTAAGACTGAGCTGCCTGCCTCGCAGTTTGTAGCCCTGCTTAACCCAGCGCACACCAGGGTGTTTAAGGAGTGTTAACAAGGCTGCTAGATCAGAATGCGCACTGGTGAGGGGAACTCGGTGAGCTTACGGCAGCACCAGGGACCCAGGTACGGGAGTCATTTCCTCTGCCAGCTGCTAGTTTAGCCTCCCTTGCCTGCTCTGTGAAGATGCAGCAGGGCCCTTACCATCTCCTGTGAAGTCCTGCTTGGCCAGCAGGGGCCTCTGAAGGAGCAGTGCAGGAGGAAGCACCTTCTCACACGGTTCTGCTTTGTTTTCTGCCCTCTATTTAAAAAAAATTTTTTTACAGTACAAAATAGATACCATTGCAAATACAATTTAAAGAGACCATTTATTAAGTCTTCAAAGAGACAACACAAAGACTATGGTGTCCAAGGGTTCACAGTGAAGGAGCAAGATCACTGGAGGGAGGCAGGACAAAAGAACTTGTCACAAAAGCACGATAGGTGGTAGATCAACATATCACAATTACAGGTGGGACTACAGATGCGGGAATGGGACCAAGATTGGGACCAAGATTGGGATACGTACACATGGGTAGCTAGAAGGGCTTACAAGATCAGTCAGGGCAAGACTGCTAGGGCATGACTCCTAACTGTGCCACCCTTGTACAATCCCTGGTATGGTGACCTCCATCAAGGACACCTAGGCCAGCCCCTAAGGGAGAGACACTGCCCCTCCTCGGGCTGGTCCAAGGGGACTGGAGGTAATCCACTCTCCAAGGCATCCTGCCTGAGGGCAAAGTTATCTACATTCTTGGTTAATGCTCAGAAGTTCAGTGGGGACTCTGCTAATGGATTTGGGGCTGCCACTGCCACCCAAAGCCCTCTGCAAACCAGCTGTTCAGAATTTAGCTCTCAGACATGTCAGTGAGGCAGGATTAGTTGGGGTTGGGGGTCTGTGCCCCCTTACATCCATCTTTTTTTTTGAGATATAAAAGGTTAAGCAAGAAATCTAGAGAAGCAGAGATGGGAGAAGATGGATACCAAGCTACCAGGGGATCTTCAAGGAACCCAGAAACAACCAGAGAGCCAAGACCTTAGAATGAGGAAGTCCAACCGGAAATAAAGGAGCTGAACTCTGGAGCTGGGATTCCTAACCCCAAGCAGGGTGCTTTCGGCGACATCACTCTCCCAGTTCTTAAGCTCAGGTGTGCTTTAGGCTGCAAAAGAGACCCTGTCTCAAACATAGAACAGTTATTAGCACTTCATCCACATGTCATACAATCCAGTAATGCAATCATATCAAGAATAGTTGTACAATTATCACCACAATCAATTCTAGAACACTTTCTTCCTTGTACTCATTCATGTGATGTTTTTTCTAATTGTGGCAAAAATATACACAAGGAAACAATTCTCCAGTTCATATGATTCAGTGCCATTAATTATACTTTTCATATTGTACAACCATTATTGATCTCCCTCTTCAAATTATTCCACCACCATTAGTGTAAACTCAGTACCCCCTAAACGACAACACATTTTCCTGCAACCATGGTAAACATTGGTCAAGTTTGGTTTTTTCCTTTTTAAGTAGTTTTCACATATAATTCCATGATTAAATAGCTTAAAATTTTTTAACAAGCCATTTTATTGGGAGCTTGTGTTAGTTTGGGTAAACTAGGAAATCAAATCCACAGAAGTGAGCCTTGCCAGCTAAAGCAGGGAATTGACTAAGGCAGCTGCACCCTGGTTCAACCATCAGAGAGCAAGAGACCCTAGAACCAGAAAGTCGAGGCTCACCGAGCCATTTATCTCTCCACCCTTCAATTAATCCCACATGTGTTTATAGGCCAGGTTGGCACAATAAACTTTATCTCAATCCACACCCTTGTCAACTTGGCACCTGTACATGATTCTTTAGCTAACAATTGCAGTTAAGTAGCA